TAAATCTAGCAACTGGATTTTTCCACTGCTTCGTTACTAGGACAATGTTCACGAGTTTTTCTGCCCAAAATTCGCCTTTTTTTTTCCTCTTCTTTTTTTTTTTTTTTTTTTGCTGAGCCGAACGGACGGAGAAACGGACCGACAGACGTTTTGCCGTCAATCGACTTTTCGGTACCAAGGACCCACAAAAGATGTATTACAAGATTCTTTTCTCTAAATTTAGCAACTCGATTTTTCAACTCTTCGTTACTGTAATACGCGTTTTTCTGCCAAACCTACCGTGTATTTTTTCGCGCAGCATTACATACTTTTCCCTCTACTCCGCAGCGAGGAAGTAAAAAGCACTAAACGCCCTGCATAACACGCCATTTCTGTCGTCATCGCGATGTCGCAGGTTCGTCAGCCTGACGGAAGAGACGTTCGACTCCGAGTGGCCGTCGCTGCTGGAGGAGTACCGGGCGGCGCTGGCGGCGGCGCTGGCGTCACTGGCGCGCTCTGGCGACGAAGGGTGGAAGCAGAGCGTGCCGGCGGCGCCGACGGCCGAGGAGCTGCGCGCGTGGCTGGCGGAGGCGGCGCCGTACGCGCTGCTGGCCGCGTGCGTGTGGGCGGCGTCGGTGCGCCGCGACGTCGGACGCCTCGACCTGGACGCCGTCGTCCACAGCGACGACGCCTCCCGCGACGTCCACACGGCCCCGACCTTCTGCCGCTGGCTGCGCAAGCTCGTGCCGGTGCTGGAGCGCGAGGGCGTGCTGGACGCCTTCTAGAAACGGCGGTTCTCCGCAGAAACTTAAGGAAATAATTTAATTTCAAATAATAAATACAGTAAATAAATTAAAGGCGCTTTCTAGAAGCGACGGTTCTCCGCCGAAACTGAAAGAAATAATTTAATTTCAAATAATAAATACAGTAAATAAATTAAAGGCGCTTTCTAGAAGCGACGGTTCTCCGCCGAAACTTAAAGAAATAATTTAATTTAAAATAATAAATACAATAAATGATGTGAAGTTCATATCAGTTGGTCGGGATCGCCAAGACAGTAGTGGCGTAGCGGTCTCGGACCAGACGATTCGAGCCCCGCCTCAGGTATGGGGTGTGTTTGTGTACGTCTGTATGTGTGTGTTGTCCTTTCACACCTCGTTATCAAGATGATTTCATCTTCCATTCCTCCAGAGCTAACAACCCTAGGGGATAAAAATCGGATACGTCAGTAAGCCAATGAAGTCCGTGTATTCGATGTCATTGACTATTGATGCCAATGATGTATTGCCTAAACAAACATATATTATTGACTCTTAAGTTGTCAAAATGTATTGCTATAGATATATCTTGCAAATATGTATTGTTGTTTCAATAAATGTATCAGTATCAGTAATGTAAAAATGTGTTTACTTCACCTATTTCAACTATGGATATTACAACTATGGTATGGCTAGGTCGTAAAACACAAATGAAAAACACTCGTGTGTTCTTCAGTGGTGGCATAAAAAGATGTACTATGACATTTCCGTCATTGTAATGGGCTGAAATTGGGCTGATAAGTTACCCCAAAAAACAAATCTTGCATTAATTTTCGATTATATGAGTTCTTACATTATTTCCTTTCGGAGTGTTCTAATAGTGTATGTTTATTAAAAACGCGTCATATTTCACAACTGATGAAATCTCTCACCACCAGTAACTAACTGCGTATCATGAACTTTTTAAAAGATATTTTCAAATAAGCATGAATCTACAATACAAAACCAATGTCCCATTCGTTGTGGCATAGAAGAAGCAAAGCCAACAAAAAGAGCTAAATTAAAGGGTTGTGGGCAAAAACGTGATAATCATATTATATGTCTACCATCGACCATGGAAAATCAGAAGGTCAATCTTTTCGAAACTGAATATTATTGATTTTTTCTTTCTTTTCAGAATTTTTATACATTTTAGATAACTGATAGTGCTACAAAACGGAACATACTTTCTCGTACAATTTCAAATGGTTATGGTATAATTTCAAACGGTAAGTGCATTGTAAATTATGTACCGTCAATATTCCAGTTAGGTATAAATCTATTTTAAAACACAAGGTATTATGTATTCTCATATCCCACTTTTCTCTTTAATTTTTTTATTGCATACATAGCTAAAAATATGCTTAGCAACACTGGATTCATTTCAAAGATATGTAACATCATCGGTTATTATAGCAATAATATCTCACTTCATTCAATGGTAACGAGACGCAGTGACACTGAATAGAAAGAGTGACTGTTTCTTTAAATTGTTGTAATACACTATTCATCGCACCACTAGCAAAATTTCAATCTCGCTGGATTTAAAACCTCGCGAAAACTACCGAACTGTATCATAATAAGTCGTTCCAATAACATCACATTTTAATAGCTTCTCGGCTGGTTTTTATTGCTAAGAGAAATGTTGTATTCGAAGATTACTTTTTGGCAGCGTTTTGTGGCGTCGTGGAATTAAGCACGCAGGTAATTTAAAAGTATATACAGTTTTATTTACAAATGTATCGACTACGCCGTACACATGTTCCGGTGTTTCTCGACCGCCAACCGCGATCTATTGAATTGAATTGAATTGAATCGAATCGAATCGAATCGAATCGAATCGAATCGAATTGAATTGGCCTTATTTTACGTGGCGAGACTCGGGCCATCAGGCCCGCTCTTCCATCTGACCACGCAAATTTCGCTACGCTCCTTTCGTCAAAATCGGTCGTACCATCCTGTGGATACACCACATGTACATGAAGGCCCCAACTTCAGTGTACACACAACTCGTGACCTCCGTCACCCGTGCTACGCACGAATACGCACCAGCCTGAACGTGATATTTGCGCAAAGCGAGAGGTTTACAAGAAAAAAAATACCTCCACCCTGAGCGAGTCGGGCCAATTTATTGTCGCCGGCTTATCCCCACGTGGCCACCGTTGAGCGAGGGAGGGAGGTTTACTGTCACGTGACACTCGCTGCAGTACAAGTCCGCTTCTACCTAGCTCTAAAAATGTGTGCCACCTCCAACGCCGTGGCTGCTAGCTACAGTTCTCAGGTGTGAGAAGCTTCCGCGTCTTCTTTCCACGCAGGGCTGCCAACGTACGCCACAATATCCTTAAACCATAAGCAACCAGTAAGAAAAAAAAACGCGATTTCTGTCTCATAGTCTCAAACTTTGTGACAGATTCGAGTGGATACAGGAAATTATGCTGTAGATAAAAACTATCGCAGCTCTATCGCAGCTCAAACCGGTTAAGGGCATGAATTGACGTCACTACAGTGCCTGTGACTGAGAGGACCTAGGGTTTGAGTCCCGACGGTGGCAAGATTTTCGACACTAGCTAGATAGGTAAGTCCAGTTCAACCGCTGACTAGAGGTAAATTCTAGCGGTCGGCTTCTCAGGTCGGGAGTTTTCCGTGATTTCTGCGGTCAACACCAGGGTAATACCGGAGCAGTACCCTAACAAACAAGCCACGGACTACGCGCGACCTTTCATTCCTAATCCTCAGCGTGGAGCTAAGAGGTTGTCCTGGTTGGGATTATGCTCCTGAAGGTAGATACCTAAATGGTTAAACACCATAAGTGGACGTGTTTGTCAGCGCCAGATCTCGCCATCCTGTAGAGGAAGACCACCGCCAATTCCCGTAATAAAAATTTGCACTACACCTACGAGAATAATGACATTAGCAGTTGACGCGCCCGAAATCTCTAATCCATCAATTGAATCTCCGTCTTTTAGAATTAGCTTAATGCCATGGGTTCAGGTGTGAAATTACGAAAGAATTATATAAAATGGCAATTTTGGTGGTTTAATTACAGAAACCTGAATTTCAAATGTTTTATTTGGAATCATTTTATAACAGTAAATGCGTAGTCCATGGCTTCCAATCAAACTATGACAATGTCTCTCATCCGTCTTTGTTTCCTGCAAAGAAACAGTTAAACGATAGGTGGTTGAGAAATATTAATTGTGCCAGCTTAGAAGCCCGTGAAACAAGAGTTATTTGCATTCATCACATTGACCGAAAGTTCATGTTCTAAATGTAGACGTCTGTGTTGGTCTTGTACGAACGCTTGCAAATTAGTACCCGATTATCCTAATAACGTAGGATTTTGTATTCAGACAGCGCCACACATTTGGCATACGTCGAGTAGCGAGCGGAACAGTTCGCCCATTCTCGAGCAGCTGATGTGCTCGGTGAAAATACTCGCTTCCTTTGATGTGCCCTAAAGACCGACACGCAGTGGGGAGAACGAGCACCGAATGTTCGTCGCTCGGAAAGTAGCAAGCAATCTATCCACACTATTTGGGATTCGGTGAGCGGGCGCTTGCTACTCGCCCAATACCGAATGTGTTGAGCCACCTCTCTACGAATATAATTAACACCGCCTTTGTAGAGGTCCTCTATTGTTTGCGCAACTTTTCTTGAACGATGACCTTGCTTCCCTCTCTCTGCCACAATAAATAGTTGAAGACAAAAGCTTGCAGCGTGCACTGATGACATTAAAAACACATCTTCACTGGCGCGAAATAGAAAATATTTTCCGTTGAAGACGAGAACTTCGTCAGTGATTTTCTCCAAAATATCTAAAGAAATAACCGTAGCAGGTGAAGATCCATCATAGGAGTACCTCGAACTCCTAAGAAAGTTAGAACGCAAATTATTGAGAAAGTTGTGAAGGTATGACTGATTCTCCAGAGATTGACATTACTTCATAAAATCTAGTGGTCGATTTCTTAACTAATACCCCCACTCTACCCGCAATTCATCGTTCAAGAAAAGTTGCGCGAGTAATACCACCTCTCTAGAGGTGGTGTTCATACAATCCCACATCAACGATAATCAGCCTTCTAAACGAAATACAGCAGTTCATTTTGAAGATTCAGGAGGCCTTGAATGACAACCATCTTTAAGTGAATTCCTAGCCTGTATTTGAGATCAGCGCTCCGAAGTCGAATACGAGAGAACGTATTCAATTCTCGAATGTTTTGACAAATGTTGATTCATGTCGTGTTGAGTCTTATTTTGTTCACATTGGTCAATGTTGAGCAGTTTTATGCTCAGAGGCAACCGGTGAAGAATACGAAGAAAACCTTTCGAGGCAGGAAACGTGAGTAAATACATTTACCAACACGTGTAAAGCCAGGTTTATATTCAATTACTATTAAGTTCGTTTATCTACTTTACTGTCTTTACGGAATTATCCTAAAAATTATTAGCAATTCAAATTTATGTCAATGTTAGTAATATTTATGTGTATACACACATGTAAAACCAGAACTGTACTAACTGTTTCTTACTAATATTTTGTCTTTTGTCTAATGTTTTGCCTTTCATCGAATGCTTTGTCTTCCATTACTTCTTTGTTTTCTGTCCAATACTTTGTCCTTAAATTTAATATTTTGTCTTCCGCCTAAAACATTGTAATGAAGTCCAATATTTTGCCTTCGGAGTAATACTTCGTCTTTCGTCTAATACTTTGTCTTCGGTCTGATACATTTTCCTCCGTCTAATACTTTGTTTTCCATTATCTCTTTGTTTTCCGCTCAATAGTTTGTTCTTAAATCTAATATTTTGTCTTCCATCTAATAATTTGTTTTCCATCTAATGTTTGACTCCCATACTTTGTTTTCCGTCTAGTGCTTTTGTCTTCCGTCTAATAATTTGTCCTCAAGTCTGATGTTTTGCCTTCCGTGCAATGCTTATCTTCCGTCTAATACTTTGTCTTCCATTACCTCTTTGGTTTCAGCCCAATACTTTGTTCTTAATTCTAATATTTTGCCTTTCCGTCTAATACTTTGTCCTTAAGTCTGATATTTTGCCTTCCGTGTAATACTTTGTCTTTCGTCTAATAATTTGTTTTCCGTCTAATAATATATCCTTGCGTCTAATAATGTGTCTTCCATCTAATTTGTCGGCTGTTTTAGTGACGCTGCGCGCGGATTGCCGTACTCCCTCTAAACTCACCGTCATCTTCACGCAGGATGACTACATGTTGCTCTTCGACCCTCAAAGGAGCCAGTGTACGGACCTTGAGGTGTACAGTTGGGTACGTACAAAGCGACTGACACTAGTCCACGGTGGAAAGATATTGTATTACTCGCGCAACTTTTCTTTAACGATGACCTGGATCCCCCTCCCATGTGCAATAAACAGTTGAAGGCAAAAGCTCGCAGCGGGCACTGATGACAACCTTCCAAGCATTAAAACTTCGTTGGCGCGAAACAGAAGCTAGTCAAAGCCAGTTGCTTTCATAGTGCAGACTCCCTGTTCAGGTTTATTGTCAATATCGAAAGAAATGGCTGAGTCAGGTCCAGGTCCTTCAAGGGAGTCACCTAAAACTCCCGAAAAAGTTAAGCACAAGATGCAGTTTCGACTTTCATTTCACAGACGTTGGCATTACTTACAATACTCTAGTGGCCGTCTTTGTAACTAATACCCCCACTCCACCCGACATTGGTCAATCCATCGTTCAAGAAAAGTTGCCCGAGTAATAATGGGTGAGTTCCTCCGGCGCACCGATGTTTGGCTCGTTCTTCGCAGCACCGATTTGCGTCACGAACCACGTGACCACAGCACAGGCACTTGTTTTGAAAACCCAGACAAGACGATGGCCGCCATGTTGCATGGAGAGCGAGGAGTGTTGAGAATCATTTTGAAAGTAGCATAAAGTGACAGTATTCAACGGTAACCAACTAAAAATAACACGATGAGGGGGTAAAGAATGCAATATTTAAAAGAAATGCTTTATATATGTTTGTATGACTTGTAACAAGGAGATACATTTCGTATCTGGCTGCAGTTAAAATTCCCGCTTATTTTACACGTTCATTTTCAATTTCATTAACTTTCTGCCATAGATTCATAAAAGAACTCACATTAAATGATGAACACTTCACCCTTTTCATTCTTTCATTTTTTTAAGAGGTTAAGATTATTTTAAAATTATATACTGAATGGCCAGGTAAGAAACAACAAAACTAAAAGTAAGCTCTTAAGTCAATTATAAGCATATTTTGTCAAATAAACTCCTTGGAGATATCAAGTGGCTTAGACGCAATAAGCACTCAGAAGTTGTTTTAAAATAATACTTTCTAAGCAAAAATTTGTATTTCAGAAACATACAAACACTTCAGAAACATGCAAATGATTTATTATTTACAAAAGAAATTAATATTTTTGATTACAAATAAAAATTTACCAGGAAATAAAAACAATTTTATTGTGTTAATAGGAAGCTTTTTATTTGTGTCAATTTTTCTTTATGAACAAATATATTTGTTTCTTTTGTAAATAATAAACAAATTTATGTGTTTCTGAAGTGATAACTGCCTGAAGTGTACATTTTTGCATATGAAGTATTTTTTTAATACAACGTTTGAGTGCTTATTGCGACTCAGATACTCGACATCTCGTAAGCGTTTATTAGACAAAATGTGCATATAATAGACTTTTTTGAAACTTATTTTTAAAGTTTCGTTGTTGTCTCCCAGAACGTCCTGTATTATAAACTCTCAATTAACCATGTATTAGAAATCTATTAATCCTAACATTTTAATCTGCTTATGTTTCTTGTATCAAGAAACGGATGATGATGGCTAAAGCCATCGTAAGCTGCTCTTTTAATAAACAATATTGTTGGCAATGGCAGCCTATAGTTATTTCATTGTTATTGGCTATTGGACACTACATTCAGTGAACTCTAGAAAAAAGGCAACCGGCTTAAAAGAACATTGTTTCGTGGATCTGATTGGTTTTCTCATAAGACCCGTGTGAATAAATTTCCGCCATTTAAGCCGCCATTTAAGCGGCCATCTGGCTAAGCGGTCAGATGTCACGAACATTTTGTTTATTAATCTGCATTAGACGGTCGAAATTTTCTTATGATTCTACACCGGATTAGGTGGCTTAGGGCATCAATTGAGGTCACTGCAGTGCCTCTGATCGGAAGGCCCTAGGGTTCGAGCCCTCACGATGGCAAGATTTTCGACACTATTCTAGTTCTAACTCATCCGCAGTCTGAAGGATAATTCTAGCGACCGACTGTACTCCGTGGTTTCTCCGATCAACATAAGGTGAATGCCGGAGCAGTACCCTCACAAACAGGCCCTACAAATGTATATCACGTATGTCACAGTCAATGGTTCCCCGAAAGCGTATGCTGCTTTGTGCAACTAACCGGTTGAGTTGGATCGTCACACTATGAGTCTAGTGTGGAAAACTGTCAGGCTCTAACCCTAGGACCTCTTGGTCAGCGGCACTGCAGTAGTATCAGTTGATGCCCTGAGCCAACTAATCCGATAAATTAATTTCATTCCATAAAAGCGATACACCAACGCGGGAAGAAAGTGTAATGATAACAATTGTTATTTATGGCACTAGTGGTAAAAGCGCCTTTTCGAGTAGGAAAGGACGCAACAAGAGGCCGAGAGGTCGAGTGACTCAATCCTACACGCAAAATTAAGAACTTTTACCATTACATTATACACTTATTTTTTTAGGCAGCCTGACTGACTTTTCGTCCTTTTTGTCCATTTTTACTTGTCTTTTTTGTACTTTTTGGCCCTTTTGTCCTTCCGTATTGTCTATTTTCCTTTCCGTCCCTTTTGTCTCTTTGTTCCGGTTATTCTTTTTTGTTTCGCTTGTCCCGTTGTCCTTTTGTCTTTTTTAGTTATATTGGCCCTTTCGATCCGACGAAAATATTTTGTTTTCTTTGTTGCATTCACAGATTTATCTAAACATTTGAGCATCGTCTCGTTTAGCAGTGCTAAACATTGTACTTTTAGCTCGCTAGGCTTGCCTTGAAAGAGTCAGTTTTAGTAGTGGCTATTTAAAAAATATATTTCCAAATAAAATTATTGTGCTTTTCAAGGGAAATGCTTTTCAAAGTCGTTTCCAACACATTTGTGGACACTATACCCTGGTGTGTACATTGATTCTTCACACAACTCTACTGGTCGATGCCAATTGATTAATTAGAATTTCGGGCGCGTGAACGGCTAAGATAATTAACTGCATGTTTTTTTATCGCACGAGGCGACGGTTTACTTCTCCTCTGGATGGCGAGATCCGGTGCCGCCCTACACGTCGATTTGCGGGGGTTTCCCCCATCCAGGTATCTCCCACAAGTGAGGCAACGCCCCAGCCGGGACAAGCTCTAGGTTCCCGACTGGTCTGCTGACATGTGTAGTAGTGTAGGGCATGTTAGGGTAAGTGCTTGTCAGTAAAGAGAGAGGATAGGACCAGGAACAGGAAGAAAAATCGGACCTGCATGTGGCTCTTTAGTTAGGGTACTGCTGCGGAATTCGTCTGTCGGTGATCGGATAAACCACGCAAAACTATTGATCAGAGCAGCCGGTCTCTGTAATTCTGCTGCAGAGAGCATCCGAATTCAATCTATCTATGTAGATATAGACAATTCTGCCCCCTTTGGCACTTGGATCCTCCGATACAGGCACTTCAGTGACATGAGTTGATGCCTTAAGCTTCCTAAGCCGGTCTAGACGGTAACAACTTTTTAAACGCCTCGTTGCAACACTGCGTTTCTGTCAATTCCAGGCTGGCAACCACTTCCAGAAGAGGGCGTGTGAGCTCGCAAACGGCGAGCACTGGTTCTACTTCCGCCATTTCGAACCGGGCAAGGCCAACATTTTCAAAATGTTCGACGCGCGTACACAGGAAGAAATACTCCCAGAAACGGTCCGATTGTTTCTTCCAAGTAAGAATGTTGCGACTAAGATTCGGATATTTATTTCGTACTTGTTTTGTCCCCTTCAGCGGCTCGTGCTCGCGTGGCTAAAGGATCGGCCTTGGGCGTGGTAGCGTTTTGTGAAGCTGTCTCGGGTTCGATTCCCGAAATGAAGCCGTAGGTTTCTAATACAAGTTGTCTTAGTTGCTATAGACGTGTGACGAAAAAGTTCTTCATAAGGTCAGTTAAGCAAAGATGCTGGAAACACGAACTTCTCGCCTCAGATTCCCTTCCCCCCAAGCATGGATAACGAAACAGCGCCCAGATCTGGGCCTACTACTGGCAGCCTACCAGGCTTGCAACCTATACTCGTAGGCTTCCGCGGCTCGAGTTCATGACTTCTTGGCTGTCAGGATGACGCCGCGTCGTTGGTTCAGAGGCCGACGTTTTGCCTGTGATATCGCACGCTTCTTCAGGGTAGTCCTCGCCCGGACAGCCAAGACGCCATGAACTCGAGCCGCGGAAGCCTACGTGTACAACGAAAGCGACGACTTCTCGTCTGTCCGGGTGACGCCGCGTCAGGGGTAGTCCTTTCACTACCCTGAAGACGCTGCGATATGACATGCGAAACATCGCCTCTCAGACCACGACGCGGCGTCACCCGGACAGCCTAGAAGTAATGAACTCGAGCCGCGGAAAGCCTAGTGTACAACGAAAGCGACGACTTCTTGGCTGCCGGGTGACGCCGCGTCGTTGGCTGAGAAGGCCGTCGTTTTCGCCTGTCACATCGTAGGCTTCTTCATATCGCTAGCATTACTACGAGTATCTCACTACCCAGAAGAAAGTTCACAAATTCACTACAACAATACATGTACATTGTTTTACAACTCCTTGCCAGATGACATTAAACGATTAAATTCAATACAAAAGTTTAAGTCCCAAGTAGTAAAATAGTATCTGCTGCAAGACTGTTTCTACACAATTAGAGACTATACCGAGCATCGAAAAGGAAAGTAATAATAATTTTAACAATTACGTTTAAAGTATTATTTACGATTTGGATTGATTAATTCTAAAGATTCTGTAACAAGTATTGTACTTCAGCTTCTGGGTCAATGACCCCCATCTCGATCAGGTTTTCCTCCAGTTTCCCTGATCCTTGAGGAAATGCTTTGATGGCCTCTTGTTTTGCTTCTGGATATAAATGTTACTTCAAATAAACTTCTCCTCATCGCACATCCCACACAGTTTTAAATTGTTTTTGACGTAAATATATAAATAAGTTAATTTGAAGCTACATTTACGCGTAGAAGCAAAACAAGGGGCCATCTCAGCATTTGCTCAAGGATCAGGGAAACTGCACGAGTCTCCAGTCTAGCTTGTTTCCAACGTCACTCAATATTACAGGCAAGGGATTCTCTTGTCTTGTTTTCGAATTATTAATTGTCGACACAAGAACGCGGGATGATTAACGTTTCTAAACGAAAAACAATGACTCGATGAATGAAGAAAGCGAGCTGGTTCGAGCTAAATTGAAAATGAATGGCCTTATTCCATGGCCAAGAAAAGAAAAGCGTCTCCAGACCGATTTTTTCCCTAAAACAGTTATTCAAAATCATTGTTGTGTTTAATAATAATAATAATAATAATAATAATAATAATGAATTAAAGTTGTTTGTAATGTTATTAAGAAAATAATTTTTTTAGAGAAATCATTCAGTAATATTTCACTTAAGACATTTTATATACGACACCTCTCCAAGTTGGACAAATTCAAGGATCACCAGGTGACCTACGTAGACAGGATTTACTGTTTATGGAACCGTTATACCGAAGTTCTGTCACGGAAACCTTTGTTATTGTGTGTGTGTACGTTATTTAAACACACCGTTGAACAAGTAACCAAATCAATACGCATTGTGCCCCTCCAGAGAAGCCGCCAAAGGTGCGCAGCGCGCACACCAAGATAGGCTTCGGGGAGGTGTGGACGTACGTGGGGCACCCTCAGGAGAGCCAGCCCAACCTCCTGGGCTACCGCATCTCGCTGCTGGACCTGGAGAAGTTCAGTGTAAGACGTTATACACATACAGTATGTAATTGTCACCATCCCGTCACCTCCTTGTTTTAACAATTATGCTCGGAGAATATACTCCGCAGTCGTGACCAGGTGATTGGATGGTGACATAATATATTTATATGTTATATGACACACACACATATGTGTGTGTATGCGTGTCACCATCCCGTCACGATATATATATATATATATATATATATATATATATATATATATATATATAATTCATGGTGCGATAATCGCGCTCATGAAAACTTTTGGAAGGATTTGTTACCTTCGTAGGTTAGTGGTTAGAGCAGCTGGACGTAAACCAGAAGGCTGATCCCGATCGGGGCAACCAATTCTTTGAACAAATTTAATTGTTATGGTTCCTGTTAATGCATATAAATTATTTATTAACTAGTGGTTCTAAAGAAGCACGTACGTTCTCGCTGTTTTCCCGTAAAATTGAGCGACAAGAACTCAAAGTTTCGAAAAATTGCACATGATCTTTCAAAATCTTTCTTTGAGGAACAGATTTTATTCAACGAAAAATCTGTCTTTAATGTTTTAGTTGCTGGGAGACTCCGAAAGAAGTTTTGATGTTTTGCTGTTTTCAAAAGTCAGGGTTTTCAACGAATATGAGAACTTACATCTCTTAAACGTTTTTCGCACTATCCAATACCAAAGTTCAATCACAGCGACGACAGCCATTTCTTTAAATTGGAAATATCCCAGGAGCTTCATGAAAAATACCCCCCTCAAAAAATTAAAATATCGGTTTGAAATTGAAGGGGCCGCGACATCAACCACATCGATTGGAGAATATCAGTTTTGGAGAAAATCGGCTGAACATTTAGCCACGCGTGTTTTTCACAGATGGACAGACAGACTGACAAACAGACGGTCGGACGGACGTTTTGCTGTCATTCGATTTTTCAGTACCATGGATCCACAAAACATAATTTCTGACTGTACCACGTGTTAAATGATTTTTTCTACATGTATCAAGTGGATTTATCCACTTTCTCGTGACCAGGGTCATATAATAAGTTTTTCTGGTAAAAATTCGCCGTTTTTTCGTGCAGCATTACATACTTTCTGCTCCGTAGCGCGAGAGTAAAAATGGCGATCTGATTCTGGTTCAACTCTGAATTTTCAAAAATTGCAAAAGTTTAATTTACACATACAGAATCGCACAGACTATTATTTTGTATTTTCTTTAATCTGTGCCTTTGGTTTGTTCTATTTGGTCTAGCCACATGTGAGCTGTCATCTATCGCCGCCAAAGAACATTTTTTTACATTCCCTCAATTTGTCGGTTTTCTAATAGTAGAAATATTATTTTAAGAATATTATAAGAAAGTGAAACCATGTCTAAAATAGCAATTTCATTGAAAAAATTCGAGCCATTTTGTGAAAATTGTTGTTAGGGTTACTGTAAATGCGAAATGTAAAGCTCATTTCCACAGAAAAGTTTTAAGTTTTGAAAAACATCATTAAAAGTAATTTGGAACACTTTAACTCACAAATGAAGACGTGATTACAAATTGCTGGATACGTGTATAATAACGGCATGGGAGATGTTTTAAAAAAGCACATTTGTGTTATTTTTGGAAAAACAAAAGAAAACTCACATACTAATTATATATTACATTCAGTAGTTCAATTATCAATATCTGTTGGGAAAATTTGGAGCCATTTGAGAGAAAATGACATTTAAGCGTACCTGAATATGCGGATTTTTGAGCTCATTTTCAGAGAAAACTGATGTGTTGTCGAGAAACTTTGAATGATATCATTTAAAGCTCATTTACTCGTAAATGCAATAATGAGGACAAATCGTCGCTAATGTAAATATTAATGACGTGGGAGGCTGGTCAAGATTTTTTGTATTTTTTTTAATAAAAGGTGGGTTAATTTAGAGTACCGAAAAAATTAATGAATGTTTTTCAAAATTGCAAGGTTTAGACTTAGGCCTGATCGTTAGGAGTTTCTTCAATTTGACGTGTAGTTTGGATGCTAGTGTTATTCACATACACCAAACAGACGGACGGACGTTTTGAAAACAAAACTACACTTTTTCGGTATCAAGGACACAATTTCTTCATATTCAAATACAATATTCTTCATATTCAAATAAATCATATTCATATTACAATTTCAATATAACGTAGGAAAGTTATTTACTACATTTTACCCACTTTTCTGTATCAGTGCCCCACAATATGAGGTTTTCAGTCGAAAATCGCCGATTTTTTTCATTCTCTATACTACATTTACACAGTGTTTTCAAAAAATCCCAGGATTGTTGGCATACAGAAAATATAACATAGAGGATATAAATTTATTTGTTATCAAGCTTCTACCTGTAATCCGATACAACGCTTGCAAGAGTACAGGTCTTTTAGAGGTTAAGGACATCTCTATCTTACCCATGTTAATTTTATGATTTTTTAGTACACATATCTCAAAAATTATTTTACTTCCAGGGTTCATTTTTTATATTTACAATATCAACCTTCATTTATGCAAACCAGCTTCAAAACCTGATATACATTAATTCGTTTTTGAATAGGAATTTTTATTAAATAATGAAAAAAACGCTTTTTTTACATTCAAATACATTTTCAATTCTTTCTCAAAAATGACTTCAATTTTTTCTGCAAATTTGTGGTAATAATAGAGTAAAGTACACTTACAAAGGTGGCATAGGTCCGATTTTCACTGTTAACTCTGAATTTTCGGAATTGCAAAAGTTTGAAATTAGTTCCGCGTCTTCCTACAACTACAAAATTGAAGATACATATTTTCCTTCAAATACAATTTGTTCTCCATCATTAGTTCTTTCATTAAGATCCTGTACATTTTTTTAAAATTTCAGGAGTTTTCGCGCTATTTAGCGTGCAATATGTGCAATATAAAATAACAAAGAATAATTTCTCAAAAACAGCTCCAAATTTTTTCTTTAGCTTTTGGAAGGGATAGTGCTAAACGTACTCTGATGACATAAACGCAATATAGCTCTTTTTTGTTTTTAATTACAATTACAATTACAATTTTTAATTACAATTACACATTATATCTTTTTGACTTGTCTCACGACGTGACTATTTTTACTAACGACAATTATCAAAACGAAAAATGTTTATTTTAACAAAAAAGTAATATATATTGAATTTGTTTACATTTGTGTTGTATAATTTTTTTTAAAAGACTTAATATGCTTGTAACAAATTATGCACTTCAGCTTTCGGGTCAATGATCCCCATTTCGATCAGGTTTTTTTTCAGTTTTCCTCATCCATTGAGCAAATGCTGAGATGGCCCCTTGTTTTACTTCTACGCGTAAATGTAGCTTCACTATACGCACGTTTTGTTGAACTCTCCTTGTGCTTGTAATGGTAGGAGTAGAGGTAAGGGCGAGTCACAATTTTGTTAGCAATGCAGAAAAATCATACTTGCAATTCGTTTACCGTTGCAAATGCGTTTTCTACAACTCGGAAACAAAAATGTCTATTTTATTCAAATATTGCTAATCTCGCGATTTTTTAAAATTTATCTTTATTTCTTTATTTTAAACTTCTACTCATCTTTCAACTATTTATAGTTAAAATGACGAGAAGGAATTCTGGAACTTGAGAAAACGTGCGCAGATAATCTTCTTCCCCATACGTCACATACATTTTTTTCTGGTTTTTGACTAAATCAATCTAAATCTAAACGATTTGTTCACATAATTCCATATGAGTACATGTTCTTTAAATGATGTCTTATAAATTTTCCCGAAAACTCAAGTTGTATGCCTTGGGCTTCCAGGACTGGAAGGTGGTGGGCGAGTTCCAGAACGTGGAGTACAAGTGCTCCTTCCCAGAGTTGAAGCCGGTGCACAACTGCCCCCAATCGCAAACCGAAGGCGTCTACTGCACCCTCTTCTCCGACTTGGTGTGGTGGACCGACTCTTACGTCCCGACGTCCAACGCAACCATGAAGTTCGTCAAGGTACGTTGTGAAAGCGAGAAAAAAAACAACTAGTGGTGCTGAAACAGCATGTACTTTCTCGGCCATATTGTCACGCGAAAAGTACTCAACATTTTTCGAAATATTGTATATGACATTATTTCAAAATATATCTTTAAGGAACAGATTTCATTAAGGAAATAAATAGCTATCTTTAATGTTTCAGTTATAAGAAGACGCTGAAACATTTTGAATTTTCGAAAAGTCAGGGTTTTAACGAACAAGAGAGCTGCATCATTCTCTTAGACGTCGTTCACAGTTTCCAACAACAAAATTTAATCTAAAACATTGGAGCTATTTTTTTGAAAATTATAAAATTGTACCAGGGACGTCATGTAAAGTACCCCCAAAATTAAAACATCGATTTCAAATCTAAAGGACCGCGAAATCAGCAAGACTGGATTTAGAATATCAATTTTGGAGAATTTTGGAGAATCGACTGGACGGTATTAGCCGCTAACGTAGTTCACAGACGGACGGACGGACAGACAAACGTTTTACCGTCATTCGATTTTTCGTTATCAAGGACCCACAAAACATGGATTCTGGCTACACTACTTGTTTGAGGGTTATTTCTTCTTTTATCAAATGGATTTATCTTCTTCTTCGTTACAAGGGCCGTGAAATAAGAAAATTAGCATTTTTTTCGCGCAACTTTACATAACATTCCCTACTGCAGAAGCGGTAGCGAGGAAGTAAAAATGATAATTGACGTTTAGATTGAATTGAATTTACCTCATTTTACGTAGCGAAACTCGGGCCATCAGGCCTGCTCTTCCGTCTGACTACACAAATTTCGCTACGCTCCATTCACAAAGTAGCAGAAAAAGGAGATATTTCTTGGGCGAGGAAACTGGCGATTTGAATTTAGCTCAGAGGCGTCATTTAGGCTTGAGGATCTTTTACATGCAAGTAAATCTACTAACATGGGACAGCCGGCTTTACTTCCCCTCCGAAGGAAGGCGTACGAAGGATTTCTTCGCCCTTAAAAATCCACGGCTTTGATCGGGTTTGAACCCGCCAACTCGGGTTTACCAGTCCGATACGCTAATCCGCGCCGCAAGAGATCGATTCGCGATTCCGGACATACCAACCGCTGTGGTCATCAGTCTCGATAGTGTTGCGAATGATTTATTCTGGAAGTGGCGGTGTTCCTACCACGCAGCAGTCGGCTTCCGAGGATTCCTCTCCAGGTATCTCCCACGGGGAGCAAGGCCCCAACAGTGTCAAGCTCTAGTCTCCAGACTAATTTTCCTTGTATTTTTGGTAAAACAGGGCATGTAAGTGTAATGTGTTTGTGTGTGTGTGTGAGAGAGAGAGAAAGAGAGAGAGAAAGAAAAAGAGAGATAGAAAGGAGGAAGAGAGAGAATGAGAGAGAAAGAGAGAGAGAGAGAGAAGAGAAGAGAAGGTAGGGCAAGGAATTAAGTCGCTGTAGAGGCAACACCACATAAATCTCATTTTGGTACATGAGATGTACCAATTGCAAAAAGTAAACAGCCTAATTCAGCGAATCCCGAAGGGTCTTTACTCAGAGAAATCGTCATCTCTTAAACCTCTGCGACTGCTGTAATAACCTTCAGCGGCAGTTCGACAGCCTATCCCGAATTTTCTTCATTAAGGTTATTCATCTTTTGAATCATTCTCATCTGCAGCAAACCATCAGTCTCGTCTGTAGAAAAATTGAATAGAAATACGACAGACAGTCAGACTCGAAGGTTCTTTATTCAGGGAATTCATCTCCTAGAACACTGAGATATCTCTATAATAACCTTCAACAGCAGTTCAACAGCCAGTGACGAAGGTGTTTCACTTGGGGAATTCATCTGAACAACTGAGATATCTATAGCAACAGCAGTTTGTCACCCAATAGCGAAGATTCTGTAGAAAAAATCTGTAGAAAAATTGAATAGAAATACGACAGTCAGACCCGAAGGTTCTTTATTCAGGGAATTCATCTCCTAGAGCACTGAGATATCAATAATAACTTTCAACAGCAGTTCAACAGCCATTGACGAAGATGTTTCACTTGGGGAATTCATCTCCTGAACAACTGAGATGTCTGTAGCAACAGCAGTTTGTCACCCAATACCGAAGAATCTTCACTCAGGGAATTCATCATCCTCTGGACCGCTGGACGCCTGTTTCAATCTCAACGGGAACTATATCGGGCAGCTATTTTGTTCCGAATGTATCACTCAATACTACCAACACTGATACCATATAATATTTTATTTCAAACCGTCAGACCGTCAAACAAGCAGCCACTGTCGTTCCGGCGACCAATAGTACTAAGTCCTAAACACAGAAAAATTAAATTTCCGTTACAAGTTAATATCAACCTTTGCAACCAGCTCAGATCACCATCTTCAGCATCATCAGACGTGAAGCCAAAATAATATTTTTATGTTCAATAATAATTAATAATATTTTTCTTCATCTTATTATTATTTATAAATAATGCATTTATAATAAATAATATGCATTATATTACAAAATACGAATATTTGCATAAATTATTATTAATAATTAAAAGCCTTTCTCATAATTATTAATTGATACAAATTTATTCGATATTTTCATTTGCAGATAGAGACGTTCCGGATACCAACTGAAGGCTGTGACAGACAATACAGCGATCCGCTTGTTCTCCCACTGTACAATCTTACCGACGAAATGTTACTTGCGGTATGTCGCTATGGCAACCTTATGATAAACAGGGGGTATGATTTATACTCAAACAATAATGGATTGTCGATTAATTAAAAAGACTAGTTGTGCTCCAACACCATATATGTTCACTCATTATTGGTAACGTTTGCAATTTTCGAAAATTCGGAGACTTTCTCAAACACGCCTAATCAGAATTCATAGTTTAGGTGTTTTAGGTAGCGAAAAATTGGTTTGTCCGTCGGTGTGTTAACAACGGTAACAGCTATACCGCTGTTCACTGACATGATGTTCACTTAAATTAATATCCTCCGTCGATCTGTCATTAGCCGGGGTCAGCTTGAATTTGAAGCAGACATTTTAATTTTTGAGAGTACGTTACATGAAGCCTCAACAACTTTTTCAAAATTTTCCCAAAAATGCTTCCAAATTTTGGTTTATTTTTTCTCTCAAGCGAAACCAAAAACGCTTATTGAAATGTTTTCGATAAATTGTCTGAATTTTCGAAAATACAAAAAATACACTTTTCCAGTCTCTTCCTAAAACGACGAAAAGGAAAACAGAGATATATTTTCTTCATTGAATGTGTTCTTCAAAGACAGATCTTTACATTAGAACTAGAACAAATTTTCGAAAATAAGTTTCGTGTAAATTTGTGTAAAATATAGGGAATATTGAAACAAGACACTTCAACAAAGGCTCCGATTCTGTTGACATTTCTTTCAAACTTTTTAAACGGATTGTACTAAATGCACTGAATAACATGACGTAAAGGCCATTTTGCCGGTCCGGATGACCGAGATTGTTTAGATGCCGAAGCGATCTCGAACCGAAGGATCGCGGGTTCGAATCCCGCCTCGGGCATTGTTGTATTTGTGTTCTTCCTTTCATCCCCTTTCATCCCCATATCATGTCATCTTCATAGGTGCCATTCCGTTAAATGCAATAGTGGTCGCTAATGACCTAGATGTTGATGCGATGTTAAATAACAAAAAAATACCATTTGGATGTATTCTTTTACTTTTCGAAAAAGATGCGCTTTCGCAGCGCTTCGGCGCCATCGCGAGCAGTACATAGTTCGAAATAGCAACCTTCACACTAGGCCACTCGGATGCGCCGCAGATTAAAAACCCATCATACGGAGCCACTCAGCTGCGCTTCCGAGTAGCGCTGCTCGTGGCAAAGCGTTGGTTTAAATAAAGGTCACCGTGGCGCACGCCCGACACCAGACGTGCACATACGCTTCTGAAATACAATACGCCAAGCTTCACATTAGGCCATTGGAATGTGCCACTCGTCGTACGTTGAGCCCTCCGGCGATCAGAGTGATGACTCCTGAATCCTTCCTTTCCCACACTCAGTGGCTCCTGTTGGTGGCTGTGTGCGAAGGGGCCCAGCGCTGTTCAACGGCACTGACGAGTGACTCACTTGAAGACAGCCTAAGTCACCTCTTCAGTGAAAATTAAAAACAAAGTATACTGGTGGGATCTGCTTAAACATTCTCCACTTGTATCTATAATCAGATAAGTTGCGGAATAATCGATGCAACATTACGTTGATGTGATGTTGTAAACCATAACAAATACTCGAGGATGTATAATTTATTATTATTTACGCAATATCAATGATTTCAGATCATTGATTAAGATCAAATTAGTTGCGTTTTCTGTTAATTTATGCTACAATAATAGTTTAAATTATCGCAGGATGACAGGATATATTGTTCTCTTGTAAAATTTAATTTCACACTTTAGCTTAATCACCGGGCCAAATATATATGGAGGAGAAAACGAGTTTTGTTTCTTCTTAGTTATTATTATTAGGGGGCGGATTTTATTGAAATGTAATTTTTTCTTTTCCATTTATAACAATGACATTTAGAAGATAAATTAATTATATGTTATGACAAAAGGAAATTACTCATTTTTATATAAATGTATTTTCATTTTTCATTGATTTAGACTATTAAGACTATTTTAGACTAATAATAATAAAGGACGCACTTGTGTAGACTGAATTGTCTGTCTTTTATTATTATTTTAAAATGTTTCTGCTCGAACACTCTATATATGTCCAGGCCTTAATAGTGAATATTTGAAATTCCGCTTATTTTCCACCGTTTTTATTAATTTCCGCCGTTTATTCCGCTGTCCGCAAAACTAATTTTTTTTCCGCCGTACGAGTTCAAAATCCGCTGAAAACGGCAGGAATTCCGCCGATATGGCAACACTGGACTTTACGAGTAGCTTATTCGATTTCTTCGTTCAGAGATTGTAATGTTAGCCGTTGTATGTAATGTAACGTTTCCGTGACGCCTACAAGCGTCATTGTCGTCGGTTCGGCCGACT